TTTGCTTTCACGCTGCGAACATCCTCGAAACTGTCCCACAGCTTATCAACACCTAAAAATTTTCTTTTAGATTTCAAAGGCTTTCGTTTACAATGCACGCTACGAAACAAAACCGCAATTGGTGCGCATACACGCGGGAGCTTGTTACGAACAGAAAGCAACGTTTTTTATTTCGTACAAATTGATCGCTCATAAATGATTTCTCTTCTGCAAGGTGTTACGCACTAACATAAAGACTAGAATTGAGGCAAATGGATTCGAAGTAGACAATACAAGTATTATTTTTGTCTTCATTTTCTTACATTGGTTTAGATGGCCATTATGTTGGGCCCTCCTCACACATCGATTTCGCTTACAACTCACAATTCTGTTTTGAAATCTATAAATCGGGGAAAAAAATCTATAAATTGGAGTATCCCTAAGAAATTGAAATATTCAGTGAAATCTCACCGTAAATATAGGGTGAGGCCGCTCTATCGTTCCAAACGTATTTGTACCGCTCGTGATCCATTAGAAGTTTGCACAACTGAAATTGTAGGTTCTTGCTGTCGAGATAATCCATATTTCAAGAAAGCAGAAACCAACATCTTCAAAGTTCGCATAGTCGTTTACTGCACCTAACGCAAGCGAATACGGTTTATTGATCCTCCAGTTGAATAAACGATATCCTCTACCGTATGTTGGGATACCGAACACCTCGAAAACATTCATATTGAGATCATATAATCTATTGCTTCTTATGTGATTTTTTTGTACAGAAAAGAGAGCAAGATAGAGAAAAATTGAAAAGGAGAATAAACTGTATTCTTACCGTTTTGTTTCTCCAAAGTCCCAGTTTGAAGTAAGTTTTCATAGCAGCTTCCTGGAACATATACGGATTTTTGATAGGGTATGTACTTATTAGTGAAAGTACCTATTAGGATTTATAACTCGAATGGTAATTTGTTAATTTTTGCTCCAAAAGAGTTTATTGGACTATTAATTACCGAATTCATTTCTCCAATCACACCGATCTCGGTCCTTAGTTTCCTCAACGGTGCATTGAATCCAACCACTGGATCGAGGTAAGAAAAGATGTGAAAGTCATAGTTCATTACTTGCACAAGGTCTACATACCTGAACTTAGAAAATATAGAAAAACAGGAAAGAAAGCCAAGTGGTGCTAAATACCTACTTGTTGAACGACGGGACATCATAGGCAACCTTGGTGATTGTTGGTGGTCCAGCTACCGCCAACGTTATAAGCAATTCTTTCCCAAATTTTTGTCGAAGTGCTTTCAGTAATAAAGGGAATTTCACTCTATCACTTGAACGAGCATCTGCACTCCAAGTGGGAAATTCCCAATCAATATCGATTCCATCAAAACCAAATTTTTTGAGGTAAGCGTAGGAGTCATTTGCAAACGTGGAAATGGTACCGGGTATCGATACCTGAAAAAATTTCGTGGGACTAGAGCAAGTATGGTTGAAAACTTACGAGAGTCGTGAAAGCATTATTGGGGCCAGTTAGGCACATTAACAGCTTGAGATCATTGCGTCGCTTCTTCAGCTCAGAAAACCCCTAAAAACATGCTTTAGCGATCATTATTTTGAAGCTATTCTAGATTCAGAAAAGGTGCAGAAAATTTTGCAGAGGAGTATGATAGGAAGGGATAACGGGTGTAGGTTAATCTTCGTCAATTCTTTTCTTTTACCCGTTATAAAATATACTGTGCAACACAAAAAAATGACCGTTGCATGCATTCCGATTTAAAATTCTTGAAAGTTCAATTTCATTTTTTGAAAATCGTTCAGAAGGGCCAAGGGCTCGTAAGGAAGAAAAAAATACAGAAATAGATTATCTAAAGACTTTGGCTGAAAAAACGCTCAAAAATTGTTGAAATCAAAGACAAAAGTTAGCGCTCACCCGCGATATTTCATCTGACGGTACTTGTAAATAACCGATGTTATCAAGAGTCAGCTGTCCTATCAGTATAACATGGGTACATAGTGACACATCAACATCTTTGAGAGGAGGTTTATCCCAGCTGTAAAGTTTTGGAAAAATAACAAAATATTTACCGCTGATCGATATCAGGTCAAAATTTACCCACTTGTAATAGCAGGTTAGATGAAACGCTTCGGTAAATACCGGGGTTAATAATAAGCAGAGAAGAAATGCAGCTGAACCCGGCTGCATTTGTTTTGTAACAAACAACTGCTACCTTGGAAAATTTTTAGCTGCAGTAAGGCACGTGGTGAAATAAATCTTCAGCCGGACCGGTTAAAAAATCCAGCAGCGGAAACGCAATAGTGCAATTGTTCGTTCCAAATAGCCGTATCATCCAGACGATGCTGACCCATTTAGAGCGCTCAATTTTGGCGCAGTGTTTGTCTAAGGATTGCATAATCACGAAGGGACATGGCGATAAATGCAAATTCTGGTGAAGTACAGAGAAAATTTTTTCTTTTTACAGTTTACATTGATTAGATTTCTTTTCGACTTGGAACGTGGCCGTCAACCCGCTGATTACAGGATTGTTTTCATGATTGCAAAAAAGTCATCCTTCTTTGTTTTTTGTTTGGCATGTGGCCAAATAATCACTTGTTGTTTTGGTCGCCTTGCTACTCTGTTGCACTTGTCTGGCATACAAGCAATGGTGGATTTCATATTTTTCTCAACAATACAGATGTTTTTGAGGCAACGCGAAAGAGTCGGCAAAGCTTTCTTGTAGTTGTGTTGATTCATTCACTATTGACTGTCTTTAGCCTTTCCGTATGCCGTTTTTTCATAAGTCCATGTTTAAAAAAGCTTCATGTGGCTTTGACTAGTGTACATCAGCTGCATGATATTGTATTGTGAAAACCATTTAGTTCCGACATAGAATTCCCAGCTTTGAGCAAGCTTGCTTTTAGAAAACTTAATTTTGAGAAATATATCAAAGCACTTTGATTTAATTTACCTCAAAATGCTAGCGGTTTATCCCAAACCATTGTGACAGTTTAGAATTCCCAGCTTTGAGCAAGCTTTTTAGTGTATCAGTCTGTTTCTATCTTCTTATGCCGATGTTAACAATAACAATAGATCTTCATGTAGTTTTTAAGATGGGCTATTGGGTTGCCTCCACAACGCGACGCCGCCGCCGCCGCCCCTAGCCATCTTAGCCGTAGTCAGCGGCCACTGATCCCCTAGCTGCTTTTGTTATCACGGAAGCACGAAATCGCCAGGTTTTCACTACATTTTGATGCATCTGCTCACGCTTCTCATCCTTCGTGTTTTTTCTGCTCCATGCTAATGTGCTGTTTGTCTCTCATATCCGCATTACCTGTGTATTCGTTGTAGCCATTATGTAGTTGTGTGAACTAGATGTGTCAGTGTGCCCAGCTTTTCTAATGAAATCTATACTGTCTGACAATTCTTGAGTGATTGATTCACTTGTACCAATCTGGGTGCGCTTAAAGAGAGTGCCCAAGCAAATCTGGGTGCCTGCATTTTCCGCGTGAAAATTGATGAGGGAGTCCTAACTAAGGCGCTGTCACGGCACTGCACAAGTGGCGATGCAAATGACCACTCAGGCTAAGAAATCTATCTCCAAGCAACTCAAGCCTGCGCCGTGACCATAACTCGCGGGTGATTGGGAGCGGGTCCCAGCGCGAACATAGCTAATCGGAGCAGAGCCAAGTGCAAGTGCGGTGGCGCA